GAATGACATTTTAGAAAAGGTGCAGATGTACACAGCCATCCAAAGAATGAAGAGGCTTTTTCAGTATAAATTCAAAATGATATGAGCAAAGCCCAATAATGTGGCTCAAATTCTGATTGAAACACAGTTGAAAACTACATCACACTGAGCATTTTGAAAAGAAAATACAGTACGTAATTCACCTTAATTCCTCTATAGAGAATACGGAGGAAAAAAAAAGAGGTTACATAACCATTCCATTACGAACAATTTTGCCAAAATCAAACGCAGGACTTGAGCGTCATCCTGAAAGAGCTTTTCTGACAGTGCTCCTAAGCTATTTGCCTTCTGAAGCTGTATGGCAAGCTGTAATATGAAGCTGAGGGAAGATTTTGAACAGACTGTACCCTGCACTGCCCCTGCAAGCTGTATTGAATTAGTGAGCTCAGTAGAGCCAATTCTTTAATGGCTTAGAGTCTGTTTTTTCCCATAGATATATTGAGCATTAAAAGAAATGTATCACTGTGCTTGTGCATGTTTTTTTTAAAGAAATAAAGTATACACATTTTGGATACTTGATGTCATTTTGATTGAAAGTGTTAAGAGACTTGGGACTGTTGCATAAGCACTAAACCACTTCATTAGCAAGAGCGGGTTGGAGCAGGTGATGAGGTATTATCACTGAGCTGTGGTACATTGAGCCTAGTTAAGATCTAGGAAGATAAACAAAGAAAGGAATCAATATACCCCGCATGTCAAGATAACAGTGCCTTTGGTCCATCAGTATGTTGGAGGCATGACTAAGTCATCTCATGTGGATTTGCTAGCGGTGGAGCCAAGTCCTCTACAGGGATGACTCAAGGTTTTGTGTACACAGCCCTGCTGGATGCTGGTGAGTGTGGAACAGCATGGGAAGGTCCCCTGTGTCATGGTCTAGGCAGGAGTGTCTTGTAGCTGGAGAGCTCAACCTGCAAGGATTGATGACAGCCTGCCTGTACAGCACTACCTTGATCACGTCTAGGGCATCGCTGGCTGCCCCTCCTGCGTGCTCATCCCGATGTGACCAAGTTCCAGCATGTCGCCCCTGTTTAAAACAAGACAGCGTCCGCGCTGTCTAGTGTGGCACTGTGTCCTCTCTGAGCCCATGAGCAAGTGTGATCATATCCTGGCAAGGGCAGAGCTACATGTGTATCCTTCTTTATTACCGTATATAAGTTATGCCACTTGAGATTTTAGCGACGCGTACTATTTGCTTGATGTTTTGCCAAAAGCACTTATTTTACCTCCACAAAACCGTTAGAGCTTGGATATATATTGAGTGCATTGATGACAGTGGTAATCTTTTTGCCAAGTAGTCTGTTTCTGCCACAGGTATTCCACTATAACATTTATGCTTGCAGGCAAGTGTTTTAATTGTTTTTTTAGCACACCGACACTGAATCTGCACATTTGAGCTCACAAACATCCAGGTTTAAAACCAGCTGATATCAGGATTTAGGTCTATCCTTGCTTTCTTTGCTCATGACAGCGTAGCCCAGAATGTGTTTCCAGAGCCTGTCTGTTTATGGAGCAGAATGCATTGGTGTATGGATTCTCTTCAATTTGGAACTTTGTGAGCTCAGCTGTATCTCTGAAATTGAATTAAACATTAATTATTGGATACAGTGGTTAGAATGTAGGAGACGTACATGCTATATTCTGTTATAATACTGAGCATAATTAAATTTGATAGCTTGTGCACTCAAACTATTTTCATTCATTTATATAGTGGATGTAGGATAGGGAACATAAATAATGGCTATTCACTTTATTTCTTCTTCCTTGAATTATGTTGCTAACTTAATAACATTTTCTACAGAGGGAAGTCAGGTGCTTTTTAATATGGAATGGCCTGAAATTCAAAGAAATGTATTGTGATGGTTAATTTAGTGGTGCGTTGCAGAAGGTGATTGGGTATGGTGGCATTTCTAGTCTCCCAAATATGTTCTGTAGTATGCCTGTCTTTGTCATATCTATCTGCTGTCATCAAAACTTCATTACAAATAGGAAAGGTAATGTTTTTTTTTCTTATCGGAGAGAAGTGATCAGGTAAAAAATACAGATGGAACTGACCCTTCAGTCATATGGACTTTATGGTTGAAATGATCAAAAATGAAGATTGAGCGATTTCCCCCATTAATGCGGAAGCAATTTTAAGTTAGTTTTCCAATAAAACTTTTCCAGCTACATGAATGATGCATTTAACGCAGGAAACAACTTTATCGTGTTTTGCTGGAGGATCACTTGAGGTTTAGTGTCAACTTAAAAAAAAAAAACATCAGCGGTTCTGTGATGTCAGTTCTGTTCCTGTGTGCCTTCCAGACAGATTAGTAATAGAAAAAAGCTTGTTTTTTTCCCCCAAGGATGAAAAAAAATGTAGCAGACTTCTGATTTGGCAGCACAAAAATAGTTTCACACTTTTCTCAGCCTGCCAATAATTTACATAATATTACTGACGATGATTTATGTTGGTGGTCTGAAGGAGGATGCCTTATTTATTCTTCCTAGTTGAAATTTTGCTGTCGTGTATCCACGTCATCACACAGAGCTGCCAAACGATCGCTGGAGTGACTTGCAGGACCTTAGACTTACCTTTCGCACCCTTCAAAACGGCTAAAGGGGTGGAATGGCCGAAGACGAAATCTATTTCTGTCAGCTCGAAAGATGTAGGATTGTGGGTTACTTTTTTTATAGGCCAGTGAATTGGAACAGCGAGTCGTGTTTTGTCACGATGTGAACCCCGGGAGGCTGAGGGAGTGTCAGGCCGCCCCATCTTTGAGCGACTTGTCTTTTAATACATCACAGGCAGCACAGCGGCTCACTGGAGGTTCGGCACTGATTAGTGAAGCAACAGAGTGACAGAGAAGTAGAACTCGCCGTGGTCACTAAAAATCCCAGGGTGTCCCTCAAAAAGAGTAGGAGGTGTTACTCTGGTGTCCCCCTGGCCCTTACCAATCATGGCCTCTTAATTATCCTTGTCTATGAACTGGCTTCATTACTTTGCTATCCTGTGCCCTAACAGCTAATGTGTCATGTAATTTGGCTGCCATTGCGTCATCCATGTTGAGGCTACACGTTGGCGGTGGTTGTGAGGAGTCCCAGTTACCTGTAAGGCGCTTTGAGTGGAGTGTCCAAGAAACACTATATAAGTTTAATGAATTATTATTAACAGCACCACAAGCCTGCGAGCACCTCAGGGGTTACTGAGTGCCAAGACCCTGGCTGACTAATCTTGCCTTGTTCCGAGTACCGCTTGACATAACCCAGGCTCGAACCCATGATCCTTCTCGTTCTCCACTCCGAGCAAGCACCTTTGCTGGTTGAGCCAATCTGGAACCCCATGTGCTTAAACGTTTTGTTTTCTTAGAAACTTCTGTTGATACCAGAGTAATTTGTCATTGTATAGACATTACCAATTAGCATTAGCAGTGAACTGTCTTTGCATGGGATCTTTGCCATTTTTGTCATGACTTCAGAAAATAGCAGCTAATACAGCCATTGCAGGGTCATTTATTCACCAGCAGGTGTCAGTATTTTCTAATACTGAAGTTTCCCTCAGAGAAAAGTGACACCTAGGCCTAACCAGTGCTTTTGCATCTGGCTGGTACTGTCAGATATGGAAGTACTGGCAGTTGTTGTGCACAGTTCACAGACCTATATTCCCTAATAACTTCTGTTCATGGTCTGATCATGTTCAATTCAAAACACATTTGATTATAATCTGTGATGATACCGAACACAGTCGTACAGGGTTGCAAGTTAATCCTGTGTTTTAATGCCTTGTGTTGAGATAAAGAACAGTAAGAATTCTCAAGATTGTTTCCATCCAGTCATTTTGATTTTCTGGAAAGTTATTTTTAGCTCTTCTTGAACATGAGGATCAGTTTTTCCTTTTTTTAAAGGTAACTCGACAGGGCCATTTCTATCCTTCCAGCTTGTCCCGAAAGACAAGGCATCTCTGTTATTTTTTACCAGTCGTTCAACTGATAAACAGGTCTGTTTGGTTACGAACATTATTTACCACCATTAAGATTTTGGAAGATTGGCGAAATTAGTATCTACAGTTCTTTTTTTCCCTACTTAAAGCACTGGGTCTAACTGATTACTTTCTAGAAATCTATTTTTTTTTATATATGATTGTTTTTCCCCTGCAACCAGAGCTTAGAAAGTAGGAACAGAATCCCAGATGGTCACCTTGCCATGGAGCAGGATTTGGTATTAACGCGTGACTGTGTGGGCGTTACATGCTGCATGGGTATGAAATATCCATCTTTATAAAAATAGGAAGCTGTTTGATACAACTGCAGTAGGCTCGGTAATCGAAGAGTGTGGTGTTTCGAAGTGTGAACACACACCTACAGGTGTAGATAAATGTTGATTCATATATTAAGCAAGCTATGATGTAAAGCAGCTCATTGGCCAGGAGTCACAATAAGTTGTGCTTGTGTTGCTTGAGGCAGAGGGGCTGGGCACTTCACTTCTGAACCTTGTCAAGGGCCTGAAACCGAAAGGCAGTGCTTTTTGGTTCTGTAACAAAGCTTAAATCATGCAGTTTGCTGGAGTGATGCAATACTTTCAACTCTTTGAAGTTCCACAGAGAACCGTTAAAAGACCTTTTTGTGCTATATATAAAACTTCCACTTGAAAGTGTGAGAAAAGGTTTACAGTATATTATTCAATTTACTAGCCCATTCAGAAAATGGGAACTATTTTTTTTGATTAGTGGTTATTTGGTTTTGGTATTTTGGAATTTGTTCCCTTTCACCACAGCAAGACTTTTGCAACAACTTTAAGAACGTATGCAAAGGTACAGTCATGTCCAGCCTGTTTTTCTTTTTGATCTTTCACTAATTAAACATCAAATTTGAATTTGACCACGGTTAAAGAATTCCATATCGGAGTTTGACAAAAAACACGAGCTTCTGCGTTTAACATGTCTGTTCCCAAATATGATAATCCGTTTGGTTTTCATGATTTTTCAGGAAGAGTTGATTCTTCCCATCCGCCCCAAAAAGTCCTCTCTGAACGGCCTCTGCTGCCTGACCTTTGGGCTGGTGCTCTTTATGTCTGGTCTTGTGCTGGCGTCCATCTATGTCTACAGGTACTACTTCATTGCTCAGGTAAGCATGGCCTCTTTCCAGCCTTTTTTGTGCCTTTCTGTTTCATTTTTGAGGGGTTAAGAAATATAGACTTTGCAATGGTTGCGTAGGGGGATATTTTTTGCATGTTATTTATGCTTTTTTAACGCAGGGCACCACAAACCCTTCAGCATACAGCTACAGTGGTTTCAATGAGATTCTTCTCATTTACAAGTTTTCACACTGTAAGAGCCAAATGATTATAGTCCGTGTAATCCATTTTTACCCTGGGTATCTGGGGCTCGGAGACCTGTGAACTCGCAGGCTGCACAAGAGGGTTGCGACAGGGTCCCTCAGCCTGGTTCAAGACAGGATTCGCAATCTGCACTGTTGGCACCAGTAGGCAGTCTTGCTACACGCCTGGGAGATACTGTGGCATTGACACACGTTAATCAGCACAGTGAATTTACCTACGTAATGTCTGTTAAGTAAAATAAAAAAGGGTTGTCATATGTCGGGTGATCGCTTTGTGAATGTTAGTTATAAGTGACAGGTTTCTATTGATGATCGGTGTGTTAACTGTGAAGCCAAGGTGCTGTTCTGTGCTCTGTGGCTTAGTCTGGAAAGGTACTCGCAGTCAGCACAAGATACAGCACAGTCAAAGTCGATTAGAGTCATTAGCCGATTGTAAGGGCATCATTAGTTCTACTTTACTACTTTGAAATTTATCAAAGGAAGTTTATTTTGCACATTCTCTGCATCCGGTTTCAGAGATTTTATTTAATACACAGCCAATTGGACAAAATCCACAAATTCTGAATGTTGCAATTAGGCATGTATCCATCGGCGTCTTGCACAAGTTTTCTGAAAGCCGAGCCTTGCCGACTGCTTCCCTTTGAGCTTGAATTCCCTGGTGGGGAGGCCTGCGAGACTGGGATGCCGCCCCTCCCCTCCCGGTGTGGCATGGCGTGGCCGGGCCTGAGCTTTCTTTCCCGTGCGGCACTGCAGGTCCCGCAGGAGAACATGTTCCACTGCCGTGTGCTGTACGAGGACTCAGTCTACGCCCCACTCAGAGGCCGTCAGGAGCTGGAAGAGAACGTGGGCATTTACATCGACGACAACTACGAGCAGATCAACGTCCCCGTGCCTCACTTCGGAGGAAGCGATCCTGCCGACATCATCCACGACTTTCACAGGGTGAGTCTCTCGCCCAGCCCTCCTCTGGCCTTTCTTTTCCTCTGCTGGCTGCTGAAAAGTCTTTACTTCTACAGTGTAACAATTTGTTTAACCGACATTTTCATTTCAGAGACTGGGAATGGAAAGTGAGCTCGGTGGTGGTGTGTTCTGTCTCTTCCTTCTTGGTATATATACATGAGATTGCTTTTTTTGACAGCTTTCAAAGACTTGGGTTTTAAAGTGAGAAAGTTGGAGGCTTCAAGTGATATAACGAGTATCTGAGTGTAGTGTGGTGCACTGCAGTCTCAGTTAAGATGTAAAGTTGCAGCACTGCTGGTGTGAATCTGCGCCTCGTCTCCGGCTCCTCTATACAGCAGCACACAAATGGCTGAGCTCCGCTGGTAGGCTTCAGCAGGTGCAGATTCCCATGGCTTTTGGTTTCACGGCAGCTCCTGTAGTCTGCCAGGCGACTGTGAGCCTACAGGGTCGCCTGTAACATATGTGCCACCCCTCCTACTAGGGCCAGCTCTCTAGCATGGCACTCCCAGTGGGTGGGGAAGGCTCTGGCGGAGAGGTGCATCCACAGTACCTTGTGGTACGGGCGTTTCAAGTCAGCTTGGATTTGCAGCTGCATGTTTGTTTTTGTAGCATCACAGCTTCCTTTTAAAATGATCTGCAGTATTTTCCTGTGGAAACTTTGACTTTTATGTTGGTAAGGCGTTGCCCATGATTGCCCAACCTGAACAGCTCTCTCTTCCTGCAGGGTCTGACAGCCTACCATGACATTGCACTGGACAAGTGCTATGTCATCGAGCTCAACACCACCATCGTGATGCCTCCGCGGAACCTCTGGGAGCTGCTGATAAATGTCAAGGTACAGACATAGTTTTCAAAATGCATGAATGTTTAGTGACAGGAACATTTTATTTCAAAGAAAAATTTCTCTAAGACAACATTGCAGCTAAGCAAACTAGCTATAAATGATGTATAGAAATAACGTGGCACTGTGGCGCAGTGGATAGAATTGCTGCCTTGCAACAGTAGGCCATTGGGCTCAGTTCCTTGGGTGCTATATGTGTGTATATCGTGTTGTGAACATGAGGAGAATAAACATGGGTTTCCTCCAGGTGCTCCAGTTTCCACACACTGTCCAAAGACATACTGGCAGGTTAATTGGCTTCTGGGAAATTGTCCACAAACACAGATGTTTGTGTCTGTGGGTGCTCTGTGATGGACTGGCGTCCCATCCAGGCTGTATCCTGCCTTCCGCCACTTGCTTGCTGCAAGAGACTCCTGCTTCCCTGCGACCCCATGTTGGATAAAGTGGTTAGAAAACAGATGGATGGATTACTCTGAGACAGTGCACAAATAAAATGTCTGCGGTCCTTGCCCTCTAGTCCAAGCTTGATATTTATTTTAGGTTGGGAAGAGATAACTGTTGTTGTGACTATATACTGCCCACTGCCTATGAGCTCTGCGATGGACTGCTGTCCTGAGCAGGATGTATCCCTCCTTAAGCGAATTGCTTGCCAGGATAGGCTCCGGCTCCCCCACAACCCTCCATATGAGCTCAACACGTGAAAAAACTCCAGAACATTTCTAGCATAACCTCCCTATAAAGTATTTGAGCTGCTCAGCACCCATGTAACTCGGGAGCCGTTTCCCACAAACACGCATGATGGAATGGATTGTACCCGCTTCTTTCCAGAAGGGGACGTACTTGCCACAGACGTACATCATCCAGGAGGAAATGGTCGTCACTGGGAGGGTCCATAACATGCGTCAGCTGGGGGCCTTCATTTACCGTCTGTGCAATGGCAAGGAGACTTACCGGCTGAAACGCAGGAGCAGCAGGAGACGTAAGAAATCTTTATTGATTGTTTTGGAGAATCTGCTGAGGCAGACTTACCACCAGGCCAGCACTTACCACTGCCTGTCAGGGTAAATTCTGTTTAATTGAAGCAGTGCTGACCAGGAGGCCTGTGATATCTGACTGAACCGATGCCAGTGTTCTAATGAGTAATGGGATGACAAATCGTCTCGACACAAACACATGAGCTAAACTGCAGAAGTGCAACAAACCCTTTTTCACAGTCTGATAGTCTTACATACCAGATGGCGCAATAGATAATGTTGAAGCGTACAGCCAGCTAAATGAGACATCCTCTTTGTGTTTTCAAGTTTGCACAGATGGAGAGAAGAGGAATGTCTTACTTGAGATTACAGACTGTGCAGCAAATTTAAATCTTAACTGGGATATTTATGGTTTCTGCCAAATCAGAAGTTTTAATTTTGTTAAAACTTTGTTTTGCTATCGACTATGACCAGGGAGAATGAGGAACTGCTCACCCAATCCATAGTGCGGGCCATCAGGCAATTTGGAAATAACCATCACTAAATTATCAGCAGAACTTGAGTTGATGCTGTTTTTTTAAAGAAGCCTGGTATATTGTTACAGTATACTTTGATATTTAATTGCAAATCGTGCAAGACACAAAATAGTCATCTTTGTCTTTGTAACACAACCTATCAGTCGTGCATTCATCTGTTTAAAATTGGGGCTGATCTCAATGATAAACCAATTCTTTTCAGTTTATTTCCTTCCAGGTAAGAAGCAAATACTTATCACAGTAGAATTGTAAAATATCATTTTTCATGTTATAGTTAGGGTTAGTATTCGATAGTGTTGGGTAAATTTTCAAAACTGACATCAGTACTGCAGCAGAATATGGTGTCACATTTTTAGCTTCTGTGGTTAAAATGGCTTTTCATGGATAAAATGAAAGAAACTCCAGAGATACCCTATTTCTCACTTTTGAATTTTGTGGTCTGGTAAATGTAGTTGCTCCTAAATCATGGGTATTTGGATTGAAAAGACTTAGCTTTAAGATATCTATATTTAGTAAATGTTAGTGGTGAGGAGGACTATTTTACTGGGTGGTTTAAAAAAGTATCTTGCAGTTGGCTTTCTTTTAATTTTCTGCCTTTTCTCTTCTGCAGGTATTGATAAGCGAGAAGTACAAAAATGCCACAGGATTCGTCACTTTGAGAACACTTTTGTGGTAGAAACTGTGATCTGCGATAAGGCCTAACACCTTGCTGGTTCTTTTGCCAATGTGAAAAAACTCTGATACTGTAGCCATCTCTTGTGTGTTTTGTTAACTGCACTTTAAGCGTTGTATTGTACCTTGTTTTTGGGGAGTTCTGTCTACTCTGATTTAGTTTGTCTTATTTTAGAATTTGTTTCTGTCTCACTATTTTTTGTAGTTTGTTACAAGACACACATGGCATTTTTGAGTGTTTTTTTATTTTTCGAAGCAACATTTAGTATGTTGAACAAGTATGCTGTAAAATTTAACAAGGAGTTAGATTCCAGCATTGTACTACCAGGGTTAAACACTGTCAGATTTGAACCAAAAAAGGTTCCATTTGTTTGTTTTTTTCTCGTCTTTGCTTTAAGTCCTTCATAGGAAACTTAGTGCACTTTTTAGACAGTAATAAGACTATTCTGTGTGCAGATTCACAATGCATATTTTGCAGCACATTTTGTTAAATGTTAATTTTTGTGTGAGCACAATTTATTTTTTAGATTTTTTTCTTTTGGTTTTTCACATTTTTATAAGAAAAAAACACTATGTCCTTCTTCTCTTCCAACTCGATTGACCTGTTATACAGTTGTCTTAGTCCCATTAAATCCATCAGAATTATTTTCTTATGGTGGGAAACAAGCATGATTTTCTAGATATTTAGATCCGGAGTTCTACATCACCATATATATATTATATATCAAGAAATTATACTGACATATAAGGGACAAAAATTGGTTACGTCTTTCATTTGGCTGAACATGTGGCTACATTTTAAAGAATTGATGGGATTTGCTTTTGTCAAAGGAGGAGGGCAGCCAATAGTGGTGCATAAAGTGTGGATTTTAGGTGTTGTAACATCCTTTCTTTGACTAAGAAAATGTCCTGAAGGGAAATGTTTGGTATCTTTATTACCACAAAAAAAAACTTTGGTAATCACTTATTTTGGTTAAGAGTGGCGTTCAATAAACTAAAGGCATCCATTGAACAGTAAATAATTGCCGTCCCTTAATTCCTTTTTCGTTTTTTTCCCCCTCTTTCTATGTATCCTTGTAACCGCTTCTGAATAGTCAACCAACTTCATTTTTTTCCCCCAATTTCTTATTGCGTGATTTTAGTGTCCTATTTTATCGTGCTGATACTTTTCAAAATGCACCGCTTTTCTCTCTCCCTCCCTCCTCTTAAGACCGGAACTTAGTCAGGCCCTGTTTGATCCGCTGGGCATTAGCAAAGTAAAACAAATTTCTGATTTTACCAGGTGAGCATTCAACAGCATATAAGGTACTGAACGTGCCCAAAAGACCCTGGTTCATGGAGTCCCACATGTACCTAATTAGTGCAAGAAACCAGGCATTATATCCACATTAATGGTTTCATGTTTTCATTTACAAATCTGTAGCCATCAGTTTAGAGAACTAGTGCCAGTTTCACTCCTTGTTGAGGTTCTGATATTGGGAATGTTCCCCTGTACATTTTTTGAGTATGTTCACTTTATCCCTGTTTTTTTTGGTCATGAAGACTTGTTTTTGTCTTTGGTTTTCTTCAGTTTGCATGTTTGTTTCCCCAGATCCTGCACTGTACGAACATTTTATAATACTATGGGAAAAAAGCCTTAGTTCAGTGATGAACTAAAGTAATTGCTATTGTAAGGGAATTTAGTATTAAATGTCTGTATATGAAACCTTCAACCCGTCTGTTACTTTTGTCTGCTAGTAATCCCTATCTATTAATAAAGAAGTAAATACTACTGGCTTGGACTGTGTGTTTCACTAATGAAGTGACAGCTCTTGGTTCAGTTCTAGGTTGGGACATTTTCTATGAAGAGTTTGGATGATCTCCCTGTCATACGTGGCAAAAGAGACACAAATAGACTTTATATGGATTGGTGAAGTCCTTTGAGTTTGAAGAGATTTTGGAGTCTAATTTGTGGCTTAACCAGTTTTCTAAATCATTATACTTCATCTTGGTTTCTGCAACTGTTCAGGAAGGCTGTTGTTTCATCATTCTTCAGATACAATTGAAATAAATTTTCTGCATAACCAGGACGTGTATGAAATGTGTGGTTTTGGTGACAGGACAGCAGACTAACCTTGTAAACAAATACAAATGCAGTTGAAAAGAATCGCTTTACAAAATGGAGCAGAAATTATGCATTCTATAGATACAAAATTCATTCTTAGTAATTGCTTACTGTATATTCAGTTCTCTGAGTTGCAAAAGCAGAGTTGCAAAAAAAAAAACTGCTACTATGCATGCTGCAGGCTTAGAACAGACGTTAATAAATTTTTTACACAAATCAGAAACTGGACAGATGGTTAGCCATATGGTGTCATTACCACTGCATGCATAGGTCCTTCAAACAGAAATGTAGTATTTAAAATGCACTATCAGTGGCAGTTATTTGTATGAATGCATGCATTGTCAACATGCCCATTCAGTTTCACTACAATTTGCTTTGTGTGTTTTCTTTCTTCTGTTTGCAGCATGTTAATAAACCTTTAACTAGTTCCTTTGCAGCCTACGCTTGCTGACGCAGCTGCCTACTTTTACTATCGTTGAAGAACGTTTTGACAACTGATTGCTATCTGCTGCGCTTCCATATTTGAGACTTCTTGTTTTACTGAACTGTTAAGATATTTAGACGATGTGGATTATGTATAAAAAAGGTGGATGCATTTAAAAGTATTTGTGATTCTTTCGTGCATCTCAACTCGATTACCTTCTCTTCTGAAGAAGCCTCTTAACATTCAGCTGCAAAAAGAAAGACCCTGCTTTGTGAAAAACCTGCATTTTCAGTTCTTTTAGAAAAGGAAAGAAACGCGTCATTTGTTTACGGATTTCATTTGTGATGTCAAATTTAGAAAGTGCATATGCCATTTTGGTGCTTGAGCAGAGGACATCTGCCTTGACATCGTAAGAGGCAAATGATAGACTGTAAAAGCATATGTTTGGGGCATATTGGACATTAACTAGTGTTAATACTGCACCCCCTCAATGTAACACTGAATTTTCATGCCAGAGTTCAGGGTGATTAAGTGTTGCTCCTTCATCTTCTGAATATAGCCCAGAATATGACTGTGTCAGATATGTTCTAATTGGATTAACCCATTAACTGCTCCTCTCCGCAGTACATTTGCTGTTAAGACGTGCAAATGTGCACCCAAAATGTCTGGCAAGACTCTACGCTGAACTGAAGGGTATTTCAGTTAATCTAGACGGAGGGGAGGGAAGAATCTGTGAGGTGTTTTTGGAGTTCAAAGCGCCTTGCTTGTTTTCTGAAAGTGACCTTCATAACAAGTGAGTATCCTAGCTTAAATGACATGCACAAAAGTGCTGTTAGAAGCACATTTTAATATTAAGCTCCATGAGCAATGGCAGTACAGGATTTTAGCATCAAAAGAAACAGAATTCCTCAGCTTTATTGGTTATGAAGGAAAACTGAAAATGAATGTTATGTACTGTAAATGTGATTTGAAACGATCCATTATCATGCACAACATTGTTTGTGTTTTATAATCTGTAGAAGTGTCATGATTTTCATGGGCTGAATTTCCTTGAGCCTGATGTTATCTGCAAGTTGTGAGTACCACCCAGTCTTCTTGTAGGCTTATAGAGTTTGTACTGATTTCCAAATACAAATTACAGGTGCTTCTGCAAGCCATATGTAAAACAAGTTATTTTGTTTTTATTGCTGACAGCCAATACTAAAACAATTTAAATAAATTAAAACACTGTCATTGTAGACATTCCTTATGTTGAACTACTAGCCCAATTCAAATTGTTTTGTGTCAGAATTATCTTCACATTCTACAGAAGCCTAATTTTTAAGCAGGGAATGCTATACTATCATTAGGTTATGTTCAATGAAGGTTCTGGTTTTAGTCAAGACCTTTTTTGACCTGATTTGCCACACAAACAGTCTTGATTCCTTTCTCTTTTATTACCTGGATTTCCTTTGAGATGAGTGCTCATCGACGATAGACTGGAATGGCTTAAGAACACAGGGGCCATCTACAAGAAGAGTCAGAGCCGACTTTACTTCTGGAGGAGGCTCAGGTCCTTCAATGTGTGTAGTAAGATGCTACATATGTTTTATCAGTCGGTGGTGGCGAGCGCCATTTTCTATGCGGTGGTATGCTGGGGCTCTGGGATTAGAGCAGGGGATGCTAACAGGCTGAATAAACTCATCAGAAGAGCAAGCTGTCATTGGGTCTGACCTGGACCTCCTGGAGGTAGTGGCTGAGAGGAGAATGTTGTCCAAACAAGAGGCCATCATGGACAATGTCTCCCATCCCCTCTATGACGTGCTTGCGGAAATGAAGAGCATGTTCAGCAATAGACTGATCCATCCGCGGTGCGACAGGGAGCCCTACAGGAGGTTATTCTTGCCTTCTGCCATAAGGCATTTCACTGGAATGATCTGAATGAAGCATACAGTATTATTATGGGTGCAACCACATTGTCCCCACCTGGTATTTGGACCCTCAGTCTACCCATTACAAGATTTGTGGGGAAATTTCTGAAGATAATGGAAATTGGTCAAGCATGTGTACTCAGTGTTACTATGACCCTGGTTTCTGAATCTTAGATTCCATGTGTCATCCTAGATTATCCTAAAAATGTTCACTGGAGTTCCAGTCTGGCTGTCAGGGCATCTACAGCATAAGCCTCAAATACTTCTCCTACAGATAAGATCACTTTATTGGCCACATACAATTTCTTGCATTAAGAATACATCTTTTCGCATATCATGGCTAGCTCTCCATGAGACTCCCAGACAGGGGAAAAACTTGGGGTCAGAGCACAGGGTCAGCCATTGTACAGCGTCCCTGGAGCAGCTGGGGTTAAGAGCCTTGCTCAGGGGCCCAACAGAGTAGGATTGCGCCACAGGCGCAGATCCTTAGCCACAGAGCCACCGCCAACCGTTACACTTGCAACATGATGTATATTGTCCTGCTAGCATGTATTCACATCAGAATGAGCCTGCAGGAAGGGTAGAAATCAGATTGCAGTCTGCAAGCTGGTGGGACTTGTGATTTTTCAGATCATGGGCTATCTTTAACAGGTTGTTTTTAGGCAGTTACAAATTGATAGCTGTGAAAACCCCAGATGGGAAGTGACAGTCCTTAGACGAGGCCTCCAACATACAATTAGCATGAAGGTATTAATAAACAGGGAATACTGGTTCCTTGCTGCGTTTTGCTTTCTTTTCACCTTCTATGACATACGGTAGGTTAGTAGATTTCATCTGTACCCATGCAACTCTCACCAGTGAGGTGATTTAGTGCTTATGCAACAAAATCACTTGAGTATTTTTGGGGTCCATTATGAATAATTAAAATGACACCAAAAGCATTGAATCAATATCCAAAATTTTTATACGTAATCAAAAACATATGTACTGTATACACAGCATTTCTTTATGCTTTTACTCAGTTAGAAATCAACAGCCGGTTCTCAGTTTGAGTGATTCCACTACTTGGACGGAACTGCATGCTAGCAGGTCCCCACAAGGTCCCCATGTGTCACCATGAGCCAAGGAGCCCTGGGCAACTTATTACAGTCTGACCCCCAGAGCTGCTTCCTGGGGATTGCTGATCACATGACCAAGGCACTAACATGCAAGGTCCGGTTTATAGTGCCCAGCCTGTACTCAGATTAAACACCTTTACCCAAGATCTCTTTGGTGTTTTATGTAACGCACGTCTTGGACATGCTATACAGGAGTGTCAGCTTTAATTGCAGACACTATGCAGCTCTCACTGACTGCACTGCGAGCTTGTATCTGGCCTTTGGCATTTGGCATCTGGCCAGTTGTAGGTCACAGTGAGCTGAGGGTATGCTAGCTTTTTCAAGCCAACACACCTCACAGCACTCAAACAGTTGAACAGTGTCACAGCCAGCACTGAGAACAGGGATCTTATCTGGTTAAACCGCTTGGTTTAGCCCCTGAATCCTTTTCTTTTAAATGAATGACATCTCTTTGACATTGCCTGCTTCAGGCCAATTCTGCATTACTGCTCAGTGGATAGTCTATCTTACTCTGGTCTAACACACAAATGCTACAAAGTACATTTCAAAGTCATAATATGAAACGATTGGGGTAGTGAGGTGTCTTTGTTTGCAGTGAGATAACATTTCTCCTTGCCTATTCATTTATGTTCTAATTGTCTCCTTGCAGTATCAAACTGTTTTTTTTAAAGAACACTTTGCATAAAATATTAAACTGAGGAAAGCTTAACAATACAAAAAGTAAACATTTAAGATTCAGGACATGAATTCTGTATTCATTTTTATTTCTTACATTTCTAAGCATTTTGAACTTACAGCCAGCAGCCATATCGTCTTGCTACTCACAAATGACAACCTAGTGAAGCTCAGCAGGTGTGAGCCTGGTCAGTACCTGGATGGGAGACCTCCTGGGAAAAACCAAGGTTGCTGCTAAAGGAGGTGCTGAGTTGGACCAGTAGGGGGTGCTCACCCTGTGGTCTGTGTGGGTCCTAATACCTCAGTATAGTGAAGGAGACACTATGCTTTAAAAAGGTGCCATCCTTTGGATGAGATATAAAACCAAAGTCCTGCCTCCCTGTGGTCACTTCTCAAAAAGAGTAGTGGTGTTGCTCTGGTGTCCTGGCCTTTACCAGTTATGGCCTCCTAATATTTTCCATCTATGAACTGGCTTCATCGCTAAGTTTTCCTCCCTGCTGGTAGCTGGTGTGTGGTGAGCATGCTGGAGCACTCTGACTTCTGTCACATCCAGGTGTGGGGGCTGGAGGTTCAAGTTCGAGTTTATTGTCATTATACTCATATACAGGTATGTGGTATAACGAAATGCTATTTAGCTAGCTCTCAGACGATAAGTAGTACAAAAAAACCCAACAATACAATTGTATAATAAAAGAAAGACAGAGACAACAGGCAGTGTGCAAAACAACAAAAGGTAACAGGTAATGTGCAAAACAACATCAGATGTGCAAAAACATGCATCAACAGAATGAAATAAAGGATAGAAAACTATGAGGAGTGAGCTTCTTGACATGTGAGGTAGAGGTAGATTTCAATGTGTGTTTGGGTTTTTGGTAAGAAAGAAGGCACTGTGAGGTTCAGATCATGGGTGAGAGAGGCTGGGAGTTTAATAGTTTAATAGTGCGGGGGTAAAAACTGTCTCTGAGTCTGGTAGTCTGGGCCCGAATGCTCCGGTACCGTTTTCCAGATGGTAGAGGGTCATACAGTCTGTAGCTGGGGTGTGTGGTTGGAGGTTGGAGGGGAGTCCCCATTACCTATAAAGCGAACTGAAAGTTGTTATTATTATTATTTCATAGGTAATTGGTGCAAAACACCATACACATGGTTACAAAAAACACAGATGCTTTTTTTAGCTATTCTTGTTTTTTATTCCACAATCATGGCTGGAAATGTGAGATGACCAAAACAGAACATAAAAGGTAACATTTTCACCACCTCAACCTATCCACCTCATATCTTCAAAATGCTGAGTTTGAATTCATGTGCCCCTTCTTACTGAAACAGGAGTTGATTGTCCAACCTTCTTCAGAACTTTAATATGCGAGGTGAAGAGCACAACATGTCTTAGATGTCAGCCATCTACACATTTAACCCGCATTGGAGTTCTAATAAAAGTGACAGAACACAATTCATGTGCCAGTAGAACAGTAAACAAAGATTTTTAAAGAAATTCAAAAGACTTTAAAATAAATGTTACATTATTTTACACTAATAGGCTGTGTACAAGCCTACAAGCCAGGTTTACTGTACAAGAGTAATGTCTCTGTAGTACGTGTGTGTGTATCTTGGTAAATGATACACTATATTCTATGTAGTTCAAGTAAATAGCTGTGTCAGCATGCGTAGGCTGCAAAATAACAAGTAAAGGTTTATTCCATGCTGAAAAGAAAAGAAACACAATGTTTCGGCTGTGGACATCCGTAGAATGCTCCACAGCCGAAACATTGTGTTTCTTTTCAGCATGGAATTAACCTTTACTTGTTCCATTGTATTCTTATTTTTATTTCACTTTGCAATTTTACTAATTGGATTTCCACAGGTTTTTTTTTTTAATGTAAATCATCTTCAGCAAAATAACACTGAAAGAAGACTTTAGACTCAGCATCATTTTGAAATAAATAATGAAATCCCTTATAATGGTTAAAACAAACAGTTTTGCAAACAAACAGTTTTGCATCATAGTTTGACAAACTGTGATGCAAAAAAACTTCAATACAATTTTTAAACCTTGTTACAGCTAAAAAACATTAATATGTTGGATTATAGTTATATACTGATTAATAATAATAATTAATAATTGCTTACACTTATATAGGGATTTTCTGGACACTCCACTCAAAGTGCTCTACAGGTAATGTGGACTCCCCTCCACCACCACCAATGTGCAGCCCCAGTGCGCCAGTACGCTCACCACACATCAGCTATCAGTGGGGAGAACAGAGTAATAAAGTAAATTCATAGATGGGGATGATTGGCAAGGACCAAGGGGAAATTTGGCCAGGACACCGGGGTTACACTCCTACTCTTTTCAAGAAACACCCTGGGATTTTTAATGACCACAGAGAGTCAGGACCTTGGTTTTACATCTCATCCAAAGGACGGCACCTGTTTACAGTATAGTGTCCCCATCACTATACTGGGGCATTAGGACCCACACGGACCGCAGGGCAAGCGCCCCCTGCTGGCCCCACTAACACCTCTTCCAGCAGCAACCTTAGTTTTTCCCTGGAGGTCTCCCATCCAGGTACCAACCAGGCTCACACCTGTTGAGCTCCAGTGGGCTGACAGCTGTGAGTTGCAGGGTGATATGGCTGCTGGCTTACTGTTTTAAGTACTGTTTTGAATTGTTGTGAACTTCCAAGCTTCAATTATTTTTAAAATAACCAAAATTGTTTTAAACCTACACAGGATTTCTGTCTGGACTCTTGCATCATTGTTCATACATGAGATGACCTCTGAAATAATCTCAGAAATGCTTGGCTCTGTTTTCTTTCCACAGTGATAAAAAAGTTTTTTAAAAACATTATAATGATTGAGAGACATTCTGCATTTCTTACTAAGGTCAACCACAAAAAGGAAGTATGAGTTATAAGAACAAGACCTAGTTTTGGGTGGTGACAGCTTCAGTTTCTGACACTTACTTTGCGCAGATCTCATGCAGATTTCTAATTTTTAAGACCCATTGAAACCAGAAGCTAAGGGCAGGTAGCTCCTCTTTTATGTTTCAGTGACACAGTATGAATAAAGTCTTTTGTTCTCTCACCGCAGTTCAGCTTTTAGGTGTTGTGTTACATCCAGTCTATGTTGTTTTTGAAGATGACGTCCTCTGTATTATCTTCTTTTCCTCTTGATTGTGCCAATAGCTGCCTTGGATTTCAAGCAAACACATCTTACCTCTGTAACACAGAGGTTCGCAGTGTTCTCAGCTCCAAATTGTCATCCTTTCGTTTCTTAAAGGCTCTCAAAACAAAATAATAAATGATGGGGTCCAGACAGCTGTTTGCACTAGCAAAGCACATTGTAATTGTTTGGATGTCTAAAAAGTTATATGCAATGATGTCCAGTTTGTACAAACCATAAAGAATGAATGCAGCATGAAATGGGATGAAGCAAAAGGCATACATGAGCAGATTTGCTATAAACATCCTGGTGATCTTTTTTTTGTTGTCAGGCATTGAGCAGTGTGTTTCATTTCTGATTTTCCATATCACCACAAGTGTCGAGCTTGCGATGATAACGAACGGTATAAGAATCCCCACTCCTGTGATGAGACAGAGAATAATGAAACCAAAATACCAGCTGTTGGGAGAAAAGCTTTCAAAACAGCGGGTGATGTTGTGGCACGTGTCATAGCTCGTCGAGTGGTTCAGAGCAACGGGGATGCTGAGCCCCAAGATGAAAACCCAAACTGATCCACAAGCTATTGCTGCAAACTTGGTAGTGCGAATCGCCCGTGACCTGAGAGGGTAAACAACAGCCAAGAAGCGATCCACACTGATCAGAGTAATGAACAAAGAGCTGGAGTAAATGTTCACGGAGAACAGAGTACCTGGTACCATACAGAGGATTTGTCCAAAAGGCCAGGTCGCTGTGCTGAAGTAGTAAATCCTCAGAGGCAGAGAAAGGACAAAGAGCAGGTCCGAGATGGCCAGGTTGGTCATGTAAACGACTGGAACAGACTGAAGCTTCAATCTCCTGAAGAGGCACCACAAGGACACAGCATTCAACGGCAAGCCGAGGACCAGCACCACACTGTAAGTCACTGTAAATAGAGGGTATCGGAAATGTGAAGGATCTAAAACGCATGTTGCGTTCTCAAGTTGTCTTTTCGTAATCATGGTCAAAGCCTGTATAAAAATATTGCGAGCCGTGTTCCTCTTAAATAGAAAGAGGGGGGGTTTCCTCTCACGGTGTGTGAGTTTTCTCAGCGTATGCAGTTAGTAAACATCTCCAGCAATGAAAAAGTTGCATTACTATGTAACATGACCAAGGATGAGCATATGGGCTTAGCTGAAACCAAAACAGGAGTGCATAAAAAGAGAATTTATAGCAAATGAATAGTAACTGTGCATTAAAATCTGCAGAAATATGTAAATGTTTAAGTTTGTTCACTGCAGAGGTTGTGTTAACTTCTTTTCACTTAGAAAATCAACAAAATGGAATTTGGCCAGGGGTACCCAAACTTTTGCATAAAACTGTATATCTGAGGCATTATACCTTTTGGAATTTTGGATCATATCAAAAACTGATGCTGTGATTAAACGATTCAATAAAAGCTGGCATTTTCAGATGCCAGGTGACACTGACTTTTCAAGAAACGCGTTTCTTCGGGTTGCATTTTAAGCTTCATGTAAGAAAGTGCTGCAGCCCAATTGTTTTTAAGAGGACAGATAACGGAAAAACTAGACATTAACCCCTTTTGCAATATGGCAACTACAGTGCCAGGAAGTGGAAAGTAATGTCTTACTCTGCGAATGTGGAGGAGTTACTAGTGGTTTTGAGACACTTTCATAAAAAGTACATTACTGTGCACCACCCTGCTGCCTTTCATTACTTGCAAGAGAAGGTGGGTGTGGAAGCTGCAACCAAGCAGAGATTATTTTTCTGACACCCTACATTTGGCCAGACTAAGAATGTATCAAACAGTCTTGGCATTATTTGACAACTAATTACTGTCCCTGTTGCTTTCTTATATGTTTTAGTCCACTGTGCCTGACAAATATACTATCGGTGATGTTACTGGATTTCTTTTTATAAGCTATTTATCTAACATTCTTTGTGGCATTTCCTTTAAACTGTCAAAATATTCTGTGTTCAGGGTAATTACTTCCCTAGGTTTCTTCCCTCATCTCACTTTTTCACCCATTTACTGAGCAGCTTAAATACCGTAAACGTGCAGTTTATGTTTGTAATTCATGTGTATGTGTTGTTTGATCATTTAAAAAGGGTTTGGTTGTAAAAAAAAAAAGTTTTATGGAATAAATGAAAAGAGGGCTTCTTATCCAGTCCTCATATGAGAAAAACCCATGTAAATGGTCATCTGTACATGTACTTTACGATTAGACCCTGTAGAATCACTCCAACTCTCGTTTCTCAGAACCCTGAAACATTAAAGTAAGCACCAAACTTTCCCATCAATATTGTGATGTTCTCATTTACAAGGATCAGTCATTTTTGATTGTGTGATGTAAATATTATGCAGGGGCTTGCAACCTAAAGCTAGCAGAAGTGTCCCCTACATTTTGTACTTGGTAAGTGCAGGTTGTGTGGAAATAATTTTGTTTTGTTTTCAGTGATATCATTTTTTTAAGTTAAAATTTGACTGTTGTGCAAGTCCATAGGTTTTAAATTAAAAAAAAAATGTGGATAAAAAGGATTCCCTTTCCACCGGAGAATGCTTTTCAATGCGGTTTCTCAAAGGATGGTTATAACTGTCCTGGCTTTGTGCTGACCAAGTCTGCCGTCTCACACACCAACACATCACATCCTCTCTTTTACACTTCAAAAAATGCTTTAACAGGCTGTGTTTTGCAGACACTGTTTATCCCGATGGATCATTTACCATGTCGTGGGTTAAGGAGATATCAGATACATCAAATATTTTTCGATATTGTTTGAGGACATCATGTACTTCTGCAGTGCATGTGATTATATTACTGCAGTGTGACCGCAGTACTGGCAACAGACAGTTTCAGCAGCAGATAGTTGGGTAACTACTGTAGTTATTATTATGTGCAGCTCATTTACCTCCAGCATCACAGAATGACTGTGAGTAAGAAGATTTTTGTGTGAAATAAATATCCATCAATTTTCTAAATTCTTTAACAAGTTCCTGTTTATCCAGAAAGGTTGTTAAACGTAAATAAATACAGACATGTTCAGCGTTGTGTACGCAGGTGTTCTTTATGTAGGCATTTTTAATGTTAGCAGATTGCAGCCCACAAAAATAACCCAAATACCTGAAGGAAATTCTAATTAACAGACCAAACATTTTGTCTTTCCTGTACTGGCATTCTGTCGATTTTCACCTGAGGTGCTTTACTCTTTACACTCATCTTGCAGATACTACCATAGCATTCGTAAACAAGATATTTGTTTTCCTTTGATCAGATTGTCATGCAAACCAGAAAAAAAAACATCTGAGTCTTTGCTTGGTGGCTCTCTCAAGCAGATTGTTCTCAGCCAGTGCTCTAACTGCCTTGTCAGAAGCTCAACAGACTGGTGCTGGCCTGTCATTTCTTTTGGACTATAGATGGCAAAAAGTACCATTACAGAGTAATCCCACAGTACTTCAATGATGGATGCCTAAGGATCTCTTCCTTCAACCCTAAAGCAGTTTCCATCAGGATATAAACCCTACAGTATATAAAAGTAACATCATAGCTGTAATTATAAGAGTAGGAACAGAAACAGTTGTAGTTGCAGCTACGAAGTGACCAGAGAAAGGAGAAAGTGTGGGATGAATCTGAGACGTCAGGCAATGCAAGACGCAGGCTAGGAGCTGAACCTAGTGCACAGGCGACGCGGAGAGCCGAGGCTGGAAGCCAGGACTGCTGCCAAACACAATCCGCCAGTCGGAAACGGTCTCGTGGACGAGAGAGTCTCCTGGGAAAGGAGCCGGACGGCTTTAGAAAGACAGACTTGAGGCCGATGGACATTTTGTAGACATGAGCAGAGTGAAGGCTGGCTGAAGGCCAGGGTGAAGCGACCAGGGCACGGGGCGACGCTGAGGCGGGGAAACCGCTGCGCAGAGTGAAACGCAGGCTTGAGGCCAAAACTGCCGCACAGCCCGTGGGTCAGAAAAAAGTACGGGGAAACTGAATAGCGAACCTCCAAATAAACAAAAATGACCAAACGGGTTTCAGGGCAGTCTTGAGACTGCAGCTTATATGCAGAGTAAGGACTGTCTAAAAAAATAGGAAAAAAAATAGGAGAATGTGTCAGACGTACTAGTGAAATTCGGGGTGACGTGGAAAAAATGACAAAGTACCGTCAAAACGGCCCCATGGCTTTACATATATAGAAAAGCGGGAATTGAATAATAAGCTAATTAACACGGATCACGAAAAGCGATCCGGTCAGAGCAGCAGAGAACTGGCAAATCGTGAGCCCTCGTGAGACTGTGGCGGTTTCCCAGGGCAACCGCTAGCCAAATGACGCCAATCCTTCGGTGTAGCTAATATTTGACAATGAAATGCCTAATATTTTTACATAAATTTTCTGCTTCTATATATGATCGATTGATCTGTTTTTGCTCATGTCAAGCAAAAAGATTTGCAAAGTTTGTCAAATCGAATTCCATTGTCCATTGATGTTTATCACCATGTCCTTTCAATTGCTTTACTTTGCAATCTGTTAGCACAGCAATGTAACCCAGTTTTGATTTGTTTCATTTTGAATTATTGAAATCAATCACTTTAGTTGCTATAGCTATTTTGCAACCGTTAGCCACAGGGCACTTTACAGAATTGTTGCAGTGGGTATGAAGGAGAGAAAAACAAATGTACATCTAGGCTTCTAGGGCCTGATGGTTGTATCCCCTCCAGGATATGACTTAGTGGCACATTAGTTACAATAAATCTTGGACAACCTCTGTGATATCAAAGGTTGGGGTCCTGCATTGCTAGCTCTTTCATCAGCGATATCTCTGTGAAGCAGCTGAGCTTTTCTGGGTCTGCCATCTTGGAACAAGCATTCTTGATCTTGAGGTCACAGATTGTCAGGACACGTGTGCTCAGTGTGAAAAGTATTATGACCCCAGTGCAGGCAAGAAGGGATATCAGAAGATGGGAAATGTGTTACTGTGACTGGGCACAAGACCACAGTTTGAGGCAATCAACTGAACATTGGCAAACTTTTTTGGCAATGAGAAAAACAGTCCCTGTTGGGGGACATGGTGCTTTCATCAGTGCCCAAAGACAAAGGCACATCATTCAGCATTCTAATTAGTAGGGTAGAAGAGGAGTTTATTGCCATATGTACATTGCTTGGTTTGTGGTCAATAACACAGATCCAGCCAGGAGGATTCCAGTAACCCAGGGTGAACACCCACTGATCATATCCAGAGCGGATGTGTGCAGAGTTTTTAGAACGACTAATTTACAGATGGTGAAGAGTCTGTGTACAGGGAGGAGGTTGAAACCCTGACAGCATGGTTCCAGGAGAGCAACCTCTATCTGAACATCAGTAAGACTAAGTAGATGATTGTGGATTACAGGAAACATCAGGGAGGAGGTCACACACCTTATCTACATCACCGGGACTGCAGTGGAGAGGGTCGGAAGTTTTAAGTTCCTGGGAGTTAACATCACAGAGCACTTGATCTGGTCTCATCACACCAACACCGTGGTGAAAAGAGGTTTGGCATGCCATCACATATCCAGACCAACTTCTACAGGTGCACTATTGAGAGCATCCTGACTGGCTATCGCAAAATACTGCAGAGGGTGGTGAAGTCAGCACAGCTCATTACGGGCTGTGAGCTACCAAACATCCAGGATATCTACTCAGCTAGATGTCTTAAGAAGGCCAGGTCTATTCTCAAGGCCCACAGTCATCCTGTGTTCTCTCCTACTGATTATTAAAACTTTTAAATTAAAACTTTTAATTTTATTTGCTTTTTAATTCCCCCTGCTGAGCTCACAGAAAAGACATTTCATTGCCAGCAATTACTGCTGCACACTGTATTGTTTGCATTTGATAAATAAACTTTGATTGATTAATAGAATAGAGGAGTTTATTATCATATTTACATGTACATTGGAATTCCTATTTACCGTGATCTCTCAGGACAATAGCCAACACCACACAATACCGACAGTACATTACAAACACAATA